TCACGGCGTTATGAAAAATGTTTGCCGAGCCTCGAAAGGTTTCATCGACGCCTGTAACACTGAAGATTCCGAGGCATCCGCTACTATCTGCAACGTTGTGGAAAGAAAATTCACTCGAGTCCTTTTGGGACCTTTATATAGGTTTTTTACTTTCTTTTTTTTATATAGCTGGGGTCACTCTCACTCTCAAGCTCAGCTCAAAGCAGTTGAAATTTTGCTTTTGGGGGCTTTTTTTCATTACCACTATTCCAGCAACCAAGGGACAAGGCTAAGGTGACACAATACTAACCTGGGCAAAACTAAACAACAACTAAGGCAAACTAAGCAACAACTAGGCTAGAAATTCCATCTTCAAATTCGATTTTGAGGGTCTTATAACCAAAAGGGAACCTAGACTGAACCAAAAGAAGGAGTAGTCAGAAGAGGCAGAAGCTACAGAAGATAAAAAAGGAAAGGGCTTACCTGAATCGGTCGAAAATCGAAAATTGGTTTCGATTTTGAAGTTAAGGGATGGAGATGGTAGTGAAAGCTGTGGAGGTAGTAAGGTTAGAAAGGTGGCAAAAGCTAAAGAAGATGAAAGGGAAAAGACTTACCCAGATCGGTCCAAAAGACTGAAATCGAGTCGATTGGGAAGCAAGGCGATGGAGGGGAGTAATTGAGCCACGGCTCATTTTGGAAACGGTCGTTCCGATCGGAAACGCCAAAACTAAACTAAGAGAACTGATACAGAAGAATCAAACGAGAGAAAAAATAGAATAGAATTCGATTAGTAATTGAGAACAGGTCAGAAGATAGGAATGAGAAAAGCAAACAGGGAACTTACATTAGGTTTCTTGTTAGGTTTGGAGAAGCTCGAGGTGAGGTATAAAGGAAGTGGAGGGTATCGAAGCGTTGTAGAGGGTGTGATTGTGGAGGAGTTCTTTTTCCTTTTGATTGTTATCGAGTCTGATCGAATCGAAGTTGTAGCGAGATCGATTTTCTTCTTTTTTTATCAGTATCAAAAGTTCCCTTTCTAGATTAGAGAACAGAAACGAAAGAGTTAGTTTAAGTCATCGCGTTGATAGTGAAGTTAAAACAAATAAGCGACAGTTTATAAAAAAGGAGAAGAGCCTTACCTTTTATTTAGTTATAAGGGTTGCTGAGCCTTATCGTGGTTTTCTTTTCTTATACCCTTATAAGTGGGGATTTTAGAAATTGGATTTTTTTTTTTTTTTTTTTTTACTTAGCCAGCTTAGGGGTTTTGTCCTAAGATCCTAGGGTGTTTTTCTGCAGTTACAACTGTAACTTGCAGGGTTTTAGAGGGAATTAGGTGTGTAGGGTTGTTTCGGGATCTGTAGAAGTTGGGGAACAAGGTTTAGGTGGAATTTTCAAAGTTTTATTATTTTTTTACTTGCTGCGGGAAAGTTTTTTGGAGAACTGCATTGGGGAACGTAGTAAAAAACAGCTTGTTTACATCTGTTTTTGAACCGTAGGACCTTTACGGGGATTCTTAAAGCTGAACTAAAGCTTGTAGATTGGATAATCGAGGTTGGAAGCTTATTTTGGTGGTAGAAAGGTTGGCGAGAAGTGTCTCATTGTATTTTGAGGGCAGCTTAACGGCGCTTTGGTTACGGCTCTTGGCGGTTTATCCTACTTGGGTTGTTTCTTCCCCTCCAGGCTCTGCCTACGCTCCACAGCGTAGGAGTTCTACCACGTGCCTCTGGCTCTTGATAAGTGTGGGGGTACGAAATTGATGATTCAACACTTATCCCGCGCTCATCATATTGAACCTCCAATAACCACTAATCAACCAACAGTGGCTGCTTTCTATATTGATGGTGAGCCAGTTCAGGTAAGCAGTTTCCTTCACTTTCCCTCTCATCTGATCTACTTCTCTCCTTTTCTGATCTTTTTTCTTTCTTCTTTTTTCTGTTTGTTTTTTTTTCTTTATTTCTTTTTTACATTTGATTTTTTTGTTTCTCGATTTCTTTCTCGATCAGGTGAAACCTTTGAATCGAGCTAATCTCAAAGATTGCTTGGTCCGAATGGTTGTCAACCGCGAGGTTCCGTTCTCCTTTGTTGACGCGAAGGAGTTTTGAGAGCTGATCAATATGATCAATCCCTCTGCTTACACCCTTTTATCGAAACGGACTGCTGTTACGGATGGAATACTCAACAACTTTCGATCAGCTTGAATGGCAATCATCAAACGCCTCTCTGAAGTTCCTCACATCAGTATTACCTGCAACGGATGGATCACTCCTACTAATCTGGCCATGCTCGGTGTAACTGCCCACTGGATCGACAAAGATTTCACTCTCCACGGTATAACTCTTGCCTTAAAGCCCATTGATGGTCCCCATACCGGCGTAAACCTCGCTGCCCTTCTCAAGCATACCCTGGACTTGTTTCATCTATCTGAGCAATTATATTGCATTACGTCCGACAACGCCTTGAATAACAAGACTATGGGCCAGTGCCTTTCAACCATGATTCCTCAATTTGATGCCACACAAAACCTTCATGGCTGTGTGGCTCATGTCATCAACTTGGTAGCTAAGGCTGGGCTAGCAGTTTTCAATCGAAAGGATCCACCACCACCTATCAATGCGCTTGATCCTTTGATTCCTCAATCTCAATCTTCTCTCCCCTTGTTTGTTGAACCTGCCTCGCACTCACAGCCCCCAATCACAAGTCACTGGCAGGCCAGTGCCTCCCACCGACCCTAGCAAGTTATGAGCAAGTTATGAGAAAGTTATGAAATGGATATCAAATGGATAACATCCATCAATTGAGAATTTGTTGAGAAGTGGTTGGGAGACCACCAAAATTGAGATGATGTCATACAGCATCATAAACCTGTACAAACCTGCTCCTGTATTTCCCCACCAAGAATATATACACCAGGGGGTAAACTTCCTCGGCCTCCGATGGTTCTGGATAGGTGTCCAGGAATCTTGTTGCCAGAACGAAGACACAGCCGTTCCGGTGACGAAATGAGGATAACCGTGTGAGAATCAGTTGCTTTCACCGGTTTTTGTGGGTTCAAAACGACCAAAAATTGCAGTCAAAGATGGTATGAAGGTTGGTCAAGACTTGCATGAGACAATACCTTGAGCCAAGTGCGACCATCTGGTTGTGATGCGATGTGTTTGACCTCGTCAGTCTCACCTGTAGCGTACAGATCCCTCGGTGAAATACCCGAGGAAATACATAGAAACCTAACGGTATGCTACCGTAACAGAATCGACAGACTTCCCAGACGTCCCAGACATCCCATTTCGGCCCCGTCCAACTGGCAAATTTCAAATTCACCACTCAGACTTGTCTGTGACTGCCCAGACTTGTCTGTAGCTATCCATCAGACATGTCTGTGGGCTTCCGCGTTCGCGCAAATGAGCCAGACCAGTCTGCACTCCTGCCGATTTACTTAAGTGCAGACCAGTCGCCATATACTACACACATCGCACCAGCCAGACTGATCTGGATCTGAGCACACAACGATTAGCCTGAATCCAGACCAGTCTGGCCTTGATTCACATCTACATACAACACACCGCACCAGCCAGACTGATCTGGATCTCAGTACACACCAATTAACCTGAATCCAGACCAGTCTGGCCTCAATTCACAACACACCTCACAGGTCACAAATCCATGACGAACCAAACCAACATGCCACCAACAAAAGACTTAAAAGGTACTACGCTACACCCGGTGCCTACGTTGCCGTTTGTACCCAATTGGAATCCGACTTGAAAAATCGCAACAAACGACGGGCCAAAATACACATCAAATATCACTCTGTCCTTTCTTTTTCACCCTGGTTAGGAACTCTTCATGTCATTTCTTGTCTTGTCAAGTAGATTTGACGATATCAATTCTAAATTCATGTTATCTTTTCATGTTGTTACGCTGTCCATCTTGAAGCGGATTCTTGACCAATTGATAGAATTTCACATAAAGGGAAGGTCAAAGACAACGTAATACAATACACTTGATCAACTTTGGAAGGTGAAGATATGTGTGGCAACACAGGGGTGTTGGTGTCTTGAACCTCTCGTCTTTCTTGCCCGTAATACAGTGGGTTACAATCCGTTCTGACACAGTAAAGAGTTCAATCGCAAGAACACTTTTCCAAGTTTATAACAGAGTTCAACGGAGGCGATAGTCCCATGTTAATGCATTTGGTGAATTCAGCTATTACTGAACTTGCAATTTTGAAATGGTTCTGTTTCTCACCTATAATACATCTCAGTACAAACCCAAATACATGGGCTCAATTGAAATGGATATTTCTTTGGCTTCTGCGATACATACATGAGGACACATGACTTACTTCACTCGACAGAGCTCGAGGGAGGCGATAGTTAGTACCATGTGAGACTTGAGTGCGTTCATTAAATCCAGCTAGTACTAAAGCTGAAATTGTTAACTTGAGCGTTTCTCATCTATAATATATCGTAATACAAAGCCAAATACATAGGTGTCATGATTGTGCCTATCATCGGAAACGGCTAGTAATGTTTCCGGAAACACTATTCTGATACCTGTGCTCAAACAGTTTTATAAGGAACATGACGTTTTAGAGACTTGTTTTACAACTACATCCCAGAGCATCACAATAGGGCTCAATTTCAATGGATACTTGGACACCTTACATGATACTTGAGCTGTTTCAAATTTCATATTAAAATCCCTCCTGAGAGAAACTTTTCAAGACAAGAAAACAAATTGGAGCCGGATCCGTTGCAAACAAACCACACCAGAGAGCAGATTCAAAACAAAAACTCAACATCACAAATTTATCGAGTTTGAGATCAAATCCCCACTAGTTTGTCTGTAGATATCCAAGTTTAAAAACAAGTTCTTGAGTTGCAGTCAAGTTACACTTGATGAAACAAACTCAAAGCACACTTAGGAAAAACAGGAAACATAAAAAGAACGATCAAAAACTCAAAAAGAAAAGAAAGGTGAAAATTTGTAGTGATCTTTGCCATTATTGCAATGAGGCAAGATAATCAGGCAAGATCACATGTAGCACCAGTAACTTGAGCTGCACCCGTCCCCGATGTTTGTTGTTCGCTTGTTTGTCCGGAGCTTTCAATGACTTGAGGAATTTGAGAACTACCAGTTTGGGGATCTTGAAGTTCAGACGTAGGTGGCTGATCTTCTGTGGTTCGAGTTTCACTTGGTTGAGGTTGGTGTTCGGTCATTTGAGGTCCAGATGGGCTCGCTTGCGCTTCAACTTCCTTCAAGAGGATAAACTTGCCGTTCTTCAAATCACTGAGCCAATTACGGCGAGCCTTGGCGTTCATGGCTGTGAAACCCTTGTCGAAGTCTTCGTTGGACATGGCAGAATTGGCGGGACGTTCAACTTTCAGGTTGCGTTCTTTGAGTGAAGCAATTGGATTGGGTGTGCGAGGAAAAGGCTTGTAATGACGTTCTCCAACGAGGTTGACTAGGCGCAAGATTTGTAAGATTTCTAGTAGAGATGAAGAAAAGAAAACAAAATTTGAACTTACAAACGAGCTCATTTAGCCGCCCACCCAAATCCTTCTTATCAATGTCTGATTGATTGTTTGATGCCTGCTTTTCAGGAACAGTTCCACTTTTCTTAGCAGCAATGGCTTGAACATCTTCAACTATTGATCCGTGTTGACAATAAATAGGAAAAACTCGTTGTAAATCTGCCTTATCAGAAACCCACTGAATGATCTCTTCCCTGCTACTATGTTCTCGACACCATCCTTCGCCGCCAGTATAGCTGCTACATGCAATGAGATAATAATCTATTCCAAACATTTGATGATCACGTTCAAGCTATGATTAAAGTCCGACTACATTAGATTTCTCATTTGTGAACAATATTGTTGAAAGACTTGATTTGAAGAAACCTTCACCTGTTGTGCTATCTTCTTGAAACTTGTGAGAGAACGTTTCTCCTCCTTAGCAGCAGAGGAAGCAGGTGTCAACAGCTCTCGATCTCTGGCGACTTTCTTTGTGTTAACTAGTTTTTTGTAGATAGGCCGGTAATGAAGTTCGTCCTCTTCGCTCAGTTTGGGCACTTCGGGAACCAGAACCAAGGAATCGTTGTCGGAGCCATCCTCAGGGAAAGCAATGGCTGAATAGTCGGGGTAGCCACCAAGAGCGAAGAAAGTTGGCGATTTGAAAACCGCAAGTTGGTCGGGGCTGAGAGCATCATAAGTGCCTTTGTTGGCTCTGTTGCGAGCTGCTAGAACAGCCAAGGCATTGGGATCTCCTTGAGTAGGCACTAAAACAAAACTTAAGATAAATCAGACATATACGACATATACATAATAAGACTTTAAATGATACATACTTGGAAACTTGTTGGCATCGATTGCAAAGCTTAGCCACCTATGCCAAGGATTATCGGCATGTGCTGTGCCACCAGTAAGACCCCTGTAAAAACATTCTTGTTGGTATACTTATGAAGGTCAACCCTTGAAAATAGAAAATAAAGAAAGACTAACAAGGAACGTTTGAGCGTGACAATATTGATGTTAGAAACCATTGCAATCATGTGAAGGGTTATTTCTAACTGTTCCAGAACTGCCTTTCCTTCAGCAAGAACTGCCGCGCTCAACTGGTGGTTAGACAATTTTTGGCGATCGAGTTGTTCTTTGATGCGTCCGAGAGGCCAGAATTTTTTCACTTGATGATAGTTTTGTAGAGTTATTTCATTAATATCTAGATCAGTATCTTGGCTATCGGGCACCGGTTGAGTCTGATTTGATTGGAGTTGTTGTTGCTGAGTAGCAGAGGGTGTCGGTAGATGATTCACATTTGTGATGGCTGATGCTGTGCAAGACTCCTGACGATGTGGGCGCTTAGCTGCTGGTAATGCTGAATTGGAGTCGGTAGTGGCGTTGAAGCGTGTGCTTTTGCGAGTACCTGGAGCCATGGTGATAGGAGGTAGCTGGGGTCTGATGGGGATATTGATATCAAAATTGAAGCCTCCAAAAATTACACATCAATTCCAAACTCCACCGGACTTTACCGGACTTTTTGAATACATAAATGATTGCGCTCACCACAGTTGAGGATAGGACCACATTGCTCGTTTGATAACAGGACGTAAGTCAATGTGATTTCCTCCTATTGGATATTTTGTTTACAAACTGGTCCATCACATTCACTATATGTGATAGACCAGTTTGAATGGACGTCTTACTTATGCAAGGGATTTACCTCTAAAAATGAACAGATCTACTTGCATCTAGTAGAAATGGTTTAGATGTAGGTTGTATCCATGCTATCCCATTTAGCTGCGGTGCTCTACTGTTCTACTGTCCTACAATCAGTCTAGATTGACTGTAAAGGGGGAGACAATACCATCAGACAATGAAAAACGGCCACGTCAATATATGCCAGATTTAATAACAATATATCGCCGCCTTGTTATAATCCAGTTGACTTTTAAGGCGGATACTGTGTAAATTTCAAAGCAGCAAAGACAGCTAAATAGTCCGGGTCATCAATACAAACACTCACAGGCTTTGCTTGTTGTCAGCAAAAGATTGGTTTTTTATGGTATTTTGAGTTTTTGAGTGTGAAAATGAAGGTGAAGGAGGTGAGCTATGGTAAAGTTGAATAGAGAAGAAATGTGCGCCTGTGAGAGAAGAATTGATGGATTGAATTCTGACATCATAGGACCAATCCTTCAATGTTCATGTGTGTGATTTATGGCCGAGCGGGAGCCAAATGTGGTACTTTTAGTTTTTGAGTGTGGAAATGAAGGTGAGGGAGTGGGAATATGGGAAAGTGACATTAATAGACTGGGCCTGAAATTGAAATTTGTCAGCGTGGGGGAGCCCCAAACACCATTTTTCCTACTCCTTCAGTGGTGTTTGGGATGTTTCGTATAAACATGCAATGTGTTTT